CTGCCTTCAGGTGCCTTGGGGAATAGCTTGACACCCCTTTTGGATCCTGACCCCCTCTTCTTTGTGGCAGCCCCTGAGATATTGGAACACTACTATCATGTCACCTTCTTTTCATTAAACTAGACATACCCAATTCCAGTAACCGTTCCTTGTATGTTTTAGCCTCCAGTCCCCTAATCCTCTTTGTTGCTCTTCTCTGTACTCTTTCTAGAGTTTCAGCATCTTTTTTACATTGTGGTGACCAAAACTGGATGCAGCATTCCAAGTGTGGCCTTACCAAGGCCTTGTAAAGCGGTATTAACACTTCACCTGATCTTGATTCTGATCCTCTGTTAATGCAGCCTAGCACTGTGTTGGCTTTTTTGGCAGCTGCAGCACACTGCTGGTTCATATTTAAATGATTGTCCACTAGGACTCCGAGATCCCTCTCACAGTTACTGCTGTTAAGACAGGTTCCACCTATTCTAATGAAGAAGAGGTCAGAAGACCCTGTTGTCTGAGATGGTATAGGTTCTCCTGCTTAAGTGGGGGGGCTGGACTAGAAGACCTCCAAGGTCCCTTCTATTCTATTCTATTCTATTCTATTCTATTCTATTCTATTCTATTCTATTCCAAATTCTACTCTATTCTGTTCTGTTCTGTTCTATTCCAAATTCTATTCTATTCTGTTCTGTTTTATTCCAAATTCTATTCTATTATTCTATTCTATTCTATTCTGTATTCTATTCTATTCTATTCTGAATTCTATTCTACTCTGAATTCTATTCTATTCTGTTCTGTTCTATTCCAAATTTTATTCTATTCTATTCCGAATTCTATTCTATTCTATTCTATTCTATTCTATTCTATTCTATTCTATTCTATTCTGTTCTATTCCAAATTCTATTCTATTCCTATTCTGTTCTGTTCTATTCTATTCTGTTCTGTTCTGTTCTATTCTATTCCAAATTCTATTCTGTTCTGTTCTCTTCTCTTCTCTTCTCCTTGGCCTTTTACAGCTATTGCTGCCTTAAAGCTAGCTAAGAGTTGTTGCATGAAGAGGAACGGAAGCAACGCTGCTTGCTAAATCTCCAGGAAATGCTGGCTAAAAACGAAACCTCAAATGTAGACATGGGACGGGGCGACTGCCTGAACAGATATGCTTAAAATACACTTAGAGCTGGATGATTATGCTGAAATATATTTTTGCTGACTCCACAAAGTAATGAAAGAGACAAGGGGAACATACAAGGGTGTGTGTGTGTGTGTGTGCTAAGCTAGCGGCAATGGGGATAAATGTGCTAATGGTTGCTGAATACAGGGAATCCTCAACTTACAACAGTTCGTTTAGTGACCTTCAAAGTTACAATGGCACTGAAAAATGTGACTTGTGACCGTTTTTCACACTTACGACCGTTGCAGCATCCCTGTGGTCATGTGATCAAAATTCCGACGCTTGTCATATTTATGACATTTGCAGCATCCCGGGGTCACGTGATCCCCTTGTGCAGGGGTAGGCATCCTTGGCTCTTTTATAATTTGTGGACTTCAACTCCCAGAATTCCTGAGCCAGCAAGGGGGAACTATGGCCCCCTTCATGACTGGTGGACTTCAACTCCCAGAATTCCTGAGCCAGCACGGGGGAACTATGGCTCCCTTCATGACTCGTGGACTTCAACTCCCAGAATTCCTGAGCCAGCATGGGGAAACTACGGCCCCTTCATGACTGGTGGACTTCAACTCCCAGAATTCCTGAGCC